CGTCTTGTCAAAAATTATTTTTCACTTATGAGTTATGGTATGACAGTAAAACGTTTTTCACCGATGACTTTAACACATTTGACAATGACCGTCAGATGAAAAAATATTTTTTAGATCTACTTATATGACCAATTTTTTTCGCATATTTTTATTCGTAAAGTTCAGCTTTCTCTCCACTAATCATTCTTCACAAAACTTAAAATTTATTTCTACGCCACTGGTACAGCTTGTTTCATTTATCATTTCTTATTGAAAAATAAACCACCAATAATAATTTTAAAAAAAAACATCTTTAGATAAAGAAGATGAAACACTGTCTCTACTAAGAATCGGTTAAACTGTAATAGAAGATGCATTACTCTGCAGTGACGGTTGTCGAGATATACACTATATGTATAGGATTCTACTATATTGCAGCGAAACGAGTTTCTGGTTTTTTTCCGGTTTGTTTAACGGCTTAACGGCGTTCAGAAAATGTCACTTTTTGAACTATAAAATAGTACAATTATTATTGGTATTTTGTGAGAAATTTATTTAAATATTTATTTGAAATAACCATCACAGGCGAACAACAGCTAGTGGTCCTCCGTCGAACGTACTTGTATAAATACACGCGGTAATGCGAAATCCTGCTGAAAAACGGTTACTCGTGGGAAAGAATCGATAGTAACCTACTGGCTGCAGTTGTGCAGATAACAGTGATAATAATACTATTACACGACGTTTTCGCGTCGGACATACAGGATTTAACTTTGATTGCGCACTATCGTTTTTTCGATAGCACTATTACGAAAAAACGTATTAAATGTGTTATCACTTTATTTGTTTTTTTTTTTTTTTTGTCGTTTATTTGTTGTTGTACAATCTGTGAAGTATTTTTACAATAAGTACAAGAGATAATAACAGAAGAATTTAAAATAAGTATTTAGAGACAGACGTCGTGATTGAAGAAGCCAACCAATGTTGGGACTTCAGGAAGAGATTTGGCGATGATTAGTCAACCAATAGGTCTTACTTTATTTGTGTCACGAAAACGATAACACACCATCTTCAGAGTTCTCCTATTATTACATGGTGGTGTAAACTCAAATACAACTAAATCGAAAGCCTTAATGGTTGCTTGGCGAATAAATATAATATATACATACGCATACCTAATATAAGTATATATAAATATATATTATGTACTGTATAGGTAATAGTGTGTATCTATGTGTACGAATGCTAATGGAAACCAATAACCGTGTATGAAGATTCTTCGCTAGTCGTTACGTATGTTGCGTGTTTGTTGTGTAGAAGCATATTATATGTATATTGTATATATAGTGTTAAAGTTACGCCGATTACACGCATTCGAAATCGGGTCGATATATCCGATGCATACTATTCATGTACGGTGACATGTACGTATTATAGCCCAAAGGTATAATGTAACATTATATATTATAACAATATACGGGCATGTATCGGGTCGCGCGCCCAGTCATGTGGCAAACACTATATATATATACGCGTATCAAATCAACACGTGTACTTATAAAATGTGTGTATACCCCAAGGGTTTTATTATACGCGCCCAATGTCCAAAAACCCTTTTTTTTTTACCCATATATATATATATATTTAACCCTATTTTTATATCCAACAATATTGTTCGTGATGCTTCTTTTTTTATGTATAACATTATTATTTATTATATATTTTGTGTTTATAACGTCGTCCTCGGTTCGTGTGCGATGTGTAAATACATACATGTATGAGTATACAGGGTGATTCACCGAGCATTATACGTCCACGCCTAATCTGTCCTCGTAAACGTTTCGTTTATCTATATATAAAACGTATATTAAGTAAATAATTCGCTATTTACTCAAATACTAGTGGTTTTTACCTAAATTCTGAAACTGTCACTAAAAGATTGAGCTTTGAATTTAATGCACTATAAACTATTGAATGCAAGTATAATATTATACTAATATGCTCTTGGCTTTTAAAATTTCTTCATGTACAAAATATATAACTATTATCGAATTAGTTATTAAAGATATTATGTGCTTAAACACGAATAGTTGAAGAAAGTAGAATAGGAAGTATAATAATATTAAATTTATGCTTAAACTCTAAAATACGAAAAAATTTTAATTTGGTATATACCTGTACATTATATATGTATATTACTTTACAAATAATGTAAAACAAATTTCGATCGACCTTAATTCCTTTTATAAAGTAAAAAGAAATAATGCATAATTTATCTACAACTTTTTCTAATGATTTATACTACATTTATATTAACACTATATCATTGTAATTGGACATCGTTAGTTAGCAAATTCAAAAAATAGGAAAACGTAAAAAAACAAATAACATGATCTATGAATCTTACAGTTGAAGTATATAAACTTTATAATTAAAAAAAATAAATATAAACATGTACATTTTCAATACAGAACTTATAAATAAGTATCTGAAGTTTGAAAATATGTATGTCTAAAAAATGGATCATATATTGATAAACTACGTGTAATCTATATTATAATATATATTATACTTTACACTTACAAGTAAAAATATTCAGAATTGTCCTACCACAATTACTAATAATATCTTCGGCTTAGGTTACATATTTTCAAGAATATAGTACCAATAGTGTATTTTTAAGGTTTTTTTTTTATTATTTCATACTATTTTAAGTTTTTACTATTTTTTGGGAAGTATGACAATCATATTTTTTCTTGCTATTTTAAAATATAAACGTTAATCGAAAACGACTGTATAGAGTTTAATTTTTCTATTTAATAAAATTAAAAACATGGCGTTATTTAGTGAACTAAGTTAACTTATAACAAAAACATTTTTACTAAAAGTCAAAAATGGATTTATATTAAACTGAGTTCCAACGGCCTTAAAAAAATGTTATGGTGTGTTTATAAAATTCAATGTAAGGCTACAAGGTCCATTTGAAAATTCACGTTATTTAACCGTCTTGAAGTCTTGAAACGTATAAATGAACAAACTTATACAATTCAGAAAGTTGCAGTTCATCGATTGACGAGACGAGCAGTCGTTTTCATCTAGCTTATTTTTTGGCTAGTTTTTGGCGTCTAAACGGTCGCATCTTTTTGTCACGGTCTTTTGTGATGTATACTTCAAAGACTTAGTGGAAATATTCGAAAAATGTTGAATATCACGAAAAAATGCTGAGCAAAAAAAAAAAGTTATTGTCACTGCAGGTCGCTGCTGGACGAACAGCGGGGTCGTCTGTATCGCGGTGGGCGGCGACGTCTCGGACGGGTTCGATGTCGTAAATATGTTATAGTAGTCGAGAAAAAAAAAAGAAAGAGAGAAAAGAAAAAAAAAAGGATTACGCAATGAAAAAAAATTCCAAAGTCGATACGATACGTCGTTTACGTACACACCGTGGCCGTTAAGCGATTCTCTGTCGAACGGATGCGAAAGGGTTGTTCAGCGTAACATATATATACGCACACACACACAACAAAACACGACACAAAAACGTCTGACACTTAACAATACTCAATGCGCGTAATACTATCGTAATATATCGTTATTGCCGGCCGGTGCGATCCGTTTTATTTACGAACCCGACGGCCGAAATAACAACGTAAAAGGCGATCGAAATCGAAATCACGGGAGGAAATGCGCCCCGAACACAATATAATAACAATGCGTGTTCACAATGACGATGACCTACACCAATATCATTATAATAGAACGGACGACGATAATAGTTTATATATTACGTATATATATATATATATATATATATATATACATTCATTATTACATATTATCATGTAGGTATAAGGAGGAGAAACCGGACAAAAAGCGTTGCGTGAATCTGCTGTCGCACGCATGTGTGTGTGTACATAATAATAAAATATATTATACGTTTATGGTGTTTCGGACGCAGCGTGTGATGCGCATTGTACGCCGTCGCACAGCATAATCGTTATATTACTACAACGTTATGATATTATTATTATTATTATTATAAAATATACGTATTACACTTCGGCAGCCGGGGCGGGGATTTTATTTCCCCGGGCAAGTGTGACGGGGAAAAATGTGCCACGGCCCGGGCCGGGCTCCTTATACAATTCATTACGTTTCGTATTATTATTATTATTATTATTATTATTATATTTTGGGGCGACTCGCAGGGCGTCGTCGTCTTCGCCGCCGCCGTCGTCGACGCGGTGTATACACGATGTGCGTTAACATTATTATTATTATTATTATTATTATTATTAGTGTTATTGTACGCACTTCGCGGGGCGCGAGTGCGAGACACCACGCGGCGCAAGGTGAATTCCGCGCGATTGTGCTGGGCGCTGTTCGGTCGAGACTCTTACGCAATGCAATACAATGCAATATTATTTTACGTATAAATATGATGCGTCGGGGGCGTAAATCGCGGGGGGGGGGGGCTCGCGTGTGTACTTAGCACTCCGAGTTCGGTATTGAAGCGCGCATAACTCCACCGTATTGTCTCGGATAATTCGATTTATGAGTTACCCTATACAATATACTTACATAATACTATACACGACATTACGACGACGGGGCAAATATTTACACCTACACAATGTAAAAGGTTTTTTCTTCTTTTTTAGATAGTACACACACACACACACACACACACACACACATATATATATATATATATATATATAAATATAACACTATTGTTACATATCGTAACTGCAGCAGAGCTGTAGGTACTGAGGCTTTTCGAATTTTATTTTAGAACAGTTTTAGATATAGGTACGTTTTATATTTTATTTTTTATGCAGCTAAAACGCGTTTTGTATTGCTTTCGTTTTTTTTCTTCTTTTTTTGGTCTTTACTTCTTAGTGTTTAGTGTATTTATTTAGACTAGCTCTGTGTGTAAATTATTACGACGATGATATTGATTTGATAGCGTTTTTCACGAAGAGAAAAAAAATTCAAAAGCTAATAATCGTGTCTTTTAACAGGTACACATCCTATCGCCGTTTATAATGAACGGCGTTTGCGTGCAATGGAAAGGTCGGATCAATTTAGAAAAATTAGACGGCATCGGATGTTTGGAATTCGACGAAGAACGAGCAATGGTACGGTATATTATATTTTTATTAACTGCTTTAATGGATGTTATTATTAAATACGATACAGGTACAGAATATATTACGCTTTCGATATTTTTCCCGTGGCTGTACACGATACACGTCCTAATTATTATGTACCTAAATAATAATTGAGTAAAATACGTATTTTCGAATACGAACCGTCACTTGGCATTACTATTATTTTATTCTTTACAGATTGAACACCAAATATTGCAAGAACAAATAGAAAGGTATAACAACCGTATAAAAGACCACCAGGATAAATCGCGGGTGTACAGACACCAAGAACGCGTCAACGGACCTGAGATGGACGTCAACAAGCGATTTAATAACTTTTAATCCATTTATTCATTTCCGTTTTTATTTATTCTTTGTTATGTAATCTCGTTGGCATTAGATAAACTAATTTACCTATTATTATTCAAGAGAGTTGTGTTTACCTCTTATAATATTATTGACAGTGGAAATGCCAAATTATGTAACCCACACCGCCGACGAAATAGATGTAATGACACGAGGGAATTGTTAACAGACATTTTTTTAAAGTGCACGCGCGCGGGTTTTGAAAATGTTTGATTTGTAAGTGATAATAATTGATGTGTGTGATTAAAGTGTATAAGAAATAACGAAACGCGTCGATCTCACACGCGCGCGTACAAGTCACCACCGCGGCATCTCGTACATTAACAATATTTATTAAATTATGCTTATTTGTATGTACTTTTTGTCGATCCTGTCGATGGATCTAATCATGCGATGAGACTTCTGAAAACTGATTTGAACTCTTGTATACGCCTAGTATAGCAGTGGAGAAAGACATAAGCACTAAAATGAGATAAGAAAAAAAAAATAGTCGTATCGTACGAAAGCGCCAAAACCCTAGGTAGCTTAGATAGACCTACCAGACATTAAATTTAGAACTAAGTGTATCGTTAAAAAGCTCCAAACGTTTAATCTTAATCGACAAGTTTATTATCTGATTACGATAGATTGTCACACTGTGTATGAGCAGACTTTTGTTATAGTTACAACTTATTGTTAGTACCTACCTATTTCGTGAGCATTCGTTTAAGCGTCATTCGTTAAAATGAATTTTACGAAAACCATTACTGATAAAGGCGTTGCGTGCATTTTATTTAAAGATTGAAAATATAGATTTTTACGAGAAATGGCCAGCGGTAATGTGTCATTGAGGTGTACTGAGATAAATAATTGTACAATGGAAGAAATACCTGCAGGATGGTGAAATAAATCGTATGAAATATGTGAAGAAAGTTGGATTAAAAAATCAACCAATTAATTAAAATTATATTTTTTTGTATTATTGATATAATACAAATAATATAAATAATAATATGATAATATAAATATAATTATGTTTATTAATTCAGGGCTGTGAATTTATAGGAAAGTGCATTTTTTTTTTGGTGATTGTAAAACATAGCTTTGTAAGTACATAATTTGAATTGTGTAATTACGAATCCATCTATGAAACTTTTATTTTGCATATTTTTGCATTTTTTGACGTTTTTAATTTTTAGGTCATTTTTTCGCATTTTTAGGTCATATTTTGCTATTTTTAGTTCATTTTCTAGTATTTTTAACCAAATTCTGTCAATTAACTTGTTTAAAAACTTTTTTTTATTTTACACAAGCTGTATATATTATGTCAAATATTTTAACTTTTTTATTAAATAAACACTTTTTTGTACTAATATTTAATATCCTGTACCTAATATTAATATAAATATAAAAATTAAATTAAAAACCATTTTAAATGAATTTTATACTATAATTTTTGCATTTTATATTCCTATTTTTGCATTTTAAGTGCATATTTTGCATTTTAACTGCATATTTTATTGCATTTTTTTGGCATTTTTTAAGGTTTTTTAGTGCAATAAATTCACAGCCTTATTTATTATTACTGACAATTTTTTGTAAGATCGAAATATCAAACGATGTCTTTAGCGCTCATGCCATGTGTTTAGTAAAACAGGTATATAATATTAGATTGGCACTTATGTCCTACAAATTTTGGCGCAAATGATAAGTAAGTTTTGTACCTTCGGCGCTTATGTCATACAGCCCACTATAGATCGACCTGGTCGCGTTTTAAGATTTTTGATTTAAATTTCGAATAATCGGCATTTAAAATTTCATGAATTTTAAACATAGAAATTTGAAACCAAATTTATAGGAGCTGAGGAACGAAATATAATAGTGGTTTTAAAATATTGATAGATAATCGTGTTATTATTATCGCATTTTAGTTGCTCTTTAAAAATTTCATTTTTGTGGGTTACATTATTTTGTCTTTCTACGGTCGTTATAATTAAAGATTTTTGTGATTTTATTTTGTTTGTTTGTTTGTTTGTTTGTACTCTGTAATGTAATATATTATGCAATAAAATTATCCATTTACGAAATATGGTTTAGCTTATTATTGAAATTTTCTTATGAAATTGATGATCAATATTTACTAAAACATTAAATCATTATAAATTTAGGCATCTGCTACATTATTTATGGGGCGATGACCTGCAAAGTTGAGTATAAACGTTTTTATTATTTGTATCGTTTACAGTTTTATAAGATCAACTGCAAATACTGTCAAGAGTCTCAAGTTATGTACAACAATAAAAAAAATATATTTTATTAGTGTTAAAATAAATAATAAGATAAAGAGACACAATGAACGTCGGGAAATCCTTCTATAGATACATAAAATAAGTAAGTCTATAAAAGAGTTTAACAATTGGAAATAAATTAATTTATAGGTACAGATGATACTAAAAAAGAAAAATCAAGCCATTATTATACCATTTTACATTCTAATATATAAATATAAGTTTGACAGTAAAACAAAATAAAAACGTAAACGAAGTTAAACTAATAAAACGGGTGTGAATGTAAGTGTATTTTGATTGTTAAATTCTGCTGAAAATGTTCTTTAGAGATGAATATTGGTTCAATCAGGATTTACGTATCAATCGAAAAGAAGTGTATAGACACTCTCTATGTTTCACTGTTTTTTTTATATAACCAATAAATTATCGTTCAAAGTAATATATTAAAACACTAGTAAATCGATCCTTATATTGCACTGCTCGCTCTTTTGAAAAATAAAAATATGTATTAGAAAATTAAAGATTGAATTGAGTTAACATTGAATTGAGTCCCGCAAACACTTTTGGGTTTTTATCGACAGTTATAGAAAAATTGAAAATTTGTCATACCTATAAATATTTCAAAAAGAGTTAAAATTTATTGAAAATGTAAAATTTTAAAATGTTTAAAGTTTGTTATCATAGTAGGTATATGTATTGAAAATAGTAATTTGGAAATTTCAAGTACATATTTATATAATTATTTTTGGGAATATAACAAAACATTAACAATTGTTTGAGGAGAAATAATTATTTTATTGGTGAATATTTAAACATACACTCCATTTTTCACTCGTAACAATTTAATAATCAAGTAAATGTTAACTGTTAATTGTGTGTCACCGGCTATATGGTAGTCATGACATTTTATCTATACGGATTCAATTCAAAGATATTAAAGTAATAAGCTAGACTCGATTCAAACACATAAAAGTAGTGTGGACTCTATTCGATATCAATGTTTTTATAAGTATCTGACTTAATAGGTACTTACAATGCAGACTACAATCATTGTGTATACATACCACAAAAATTGAAAATTAATTAAAATCAAATCTGCTGTAAAAACTATATTCTCAGGTATGTACGTAATGGATATGTGATTAAAAGTAACGTTTTACGTTTTTTTTTTTTTGGTTTATAGGTATTATTGGAACAGCTACTTTCACCAAAATAAATGTAAAAGTAGTTAGTTCATCTTCTGAGGCAATGAAATGACAATGAAAATTCGAATAATTTAGGTACATCGGCTAGAAATATATTATGATATAGTGTTTCATTTGCTTTCTCCAATCACCATTAATATATACCTGGTAATTGGTATACGGTGTCAGTGTATCACATCGCAAACAAATAAATACCAATACGTTGTCGTATTAAATTTCGGTCCGCATAATGTATATATATATATATATATATATATCGAATTGTGTGTGTTTAGTATAAAGAAAGAGCGAGTAGATAAATAATTTGATATTATTACGTGTTTGGCAGCGGTAATATCAAATTTTGGTCAGTTTTAATCTAACGTTTTTCTATATTCTGTTGCATATAAAACATTAATTACTATTCAGTCGATAAATATATGTAAAATTATATTTAATATTTAGTATAGGTTAATTATGTGTTTTAACTTATTACCTATTTTTTATTACGTCACATAATTATATTCTAAACTGAATATTAATTTTGTAAATACCACATTATGCATATTGGGTATGTTCGATTATTATTAATTATTATTTTGTTTGCCTAAATTTAATCGTTCTACAAGTTATAAGATGCGCTGACATTACTATAAATATTTAAACACGGACTGATATAAATTTACTTTTTGTAAGTTAAGCCATTGAAAATCCTGTGTCTGCAGGAGCTCGCAATTTTCGAGGAAAATACGCGTGTCGACTTGCCTAGAATTTAGAAATGAAAAAGGAAAATATATTCACTAGTACTGTTGGTCAATTATTACAAATATCAATAATTTTCTGACTTAAATCTTCTTAAATTGTATTTTAATTTTCTTATTGACATATTTTAATCAATATTGGTATACTGCAGACGCGTTGATTCGGTCCACGAGATGTATGGAAATAATAAAATTAAAAACAGGGTAATGCTTACATGTACGTACAATGTACATATATCTATTTTTATATGGCCTGGTGAAATTTCAAAATGGCCTGCTTGAAACGTCGCACACCTAAAAAATAACCTGAAAATTACGCCCCTGGTTGGTCACCTACGCGCCGCGTGATTAACGGTTTCCTCTCCAACGTTTATATTATTATTACGTGTGCTGTCTAATACACGCGGCGTAGATGTAATAATAATAACGACAGTCGAAAAACTCGTATACGACTCGGCATATACATATCATATTATATACATTATTACAATGTATGCCGATACAATAATAAACGGTGCAACAACAATAATGCAGCTCGTTAGTATCGTTGTGCCGACGAGCATGTGTATAGCTATTTTCCGTGTAAACGACAGAAGTGCCGGGGCTGGGTTGCAGCAGACTGTCGATAAATCGCGTCCGTATACAAATATTTTCTCTCGCGATTACAACGCGTCTCCGCCCTTGCTTATTGTCGGAGCGCACACCGATATAATGATATTATATACGCCTTCGGAAAACCTATCAGTTTCGCGCGCCGATGACAGCGCAAATAATACGTATTATAAGCAAACACACACACTCACACATATATACACATTGTATAGTTATTGTTATTATTGTGCGTCCTCTCGCGTCAAAAATTTTATTATACAAATATTTTGGGGGGGTACAGCCGGCACAGGCGGTAAGACGGCATTACCGTCTTTGTGTTCGTGTCGTATCCGACGACTGTTTGTTGAAAACACACTCTCGTATTAAATTAGGTATACGCCAAGATCGCAAGCATAATAATATCATGAAATTATATATCATTATTATTATTATGGCTAAAATCGAATAAACAGCACAGACGAAATCGTATTATATCGCTACACCATCGATGCGGATGATAGCACCTCGCGACCCGTATAAGACATGTTATAATAATATTATATTGCATGTATTATCATCGTCACTCGTCCGCGACGGCGTGTAAATTATAATATTAAAATCGTATTATTGTCGTCGTTACTGTGATTAGACGATTACTGTAGTGGAGATATAGGAGGTATACCTACCTTGTATTCAATGGGCGGAAAACTGCGTCGCGTCTGTAAATCGGATTTAAACCAGTTTAATATAATAAAACATCATAAAGTCGGTACATATGCTGCGTTTGATATACAATATATTGTAACGCACGCATGTAGGTACCATTTTGCAGGTCCGTCTTGACTCGAATGACTCGCGATGACTATCAAAATCAATAGTCTGTATACGCATACAATGGAGTGAGTGTCGAGTACTGAGCAAAATGTACGCTGGTATATCGTACCGACATTACATCTATGGAAGCTTTAAATATTTCTAAAAATAATCTTTTTATTCAATAATTGATATTATTTGTTCGTCGATGCGATTTTGGAAATCAAAATCGGCGTGCTAATTCTCTTCGATTAAAAATATTGACAATGTAGGTCAACATAATATTAATTAAAAATCAATAATATAATATTATGGTTATCGTATAGATGCGAGCTCACCGTTGAACATTTTCAGTGAATATGGGTCTCATTCAAAATAACGGAAAATTTTATGCTAATTTAATTTTGATAATTTTTCTGGCGAATTTAGAATAATAAATTATGAAACTGCATCAATGAAAGTTTACGAAAATTTGTTCATCGATTGTTATTTGGCACGAAAAAGTCTTGATGACA